GTGATTTTCATGCCCAGTATCTGTCTCGCTTCTCCTAGATCCTTCATATCAAATCTCTTTGATAGTTGATCCTTGAGACTCTCGATCTCCTTGACATTTGATCCTGCTATCAGCATGTCATCCACATATAGCAGTAAAATAATGAAAGAGTTACCGATCCTTTTCACATAGCAACAATGATCAGCATTACACCTGGAGTATCCTATCTCCAACATAAAATTATCAAATTTTCGGTACCACTGTCGAGGAGCCTGTTTCAGTCCGTACAAGCTCTTCTTTAGGCGGCAGACCTGCTGATCATTTTCTCTATACCCCTCTGGCTGCACCATGTAAATTTCCTCCTCGAGATCCCCATGCAGAAAAGCCGTCTTCACATCTAACTGTTGTAACTCCAAGTTCTCCGCCGCTACCATGCTTAACACTAAACGAATAGTGGTTAACTTAACAACAGGTGTAAAAACATCGGTAAAGTCAATACCGTATCTCTGTTGGAATCCCTTAACTACAAGTCTGGCCTTGTACCGCTTCGTCCCATCTGATTCCTCCTTGACCCGATAGACCCATCTGTTTTGAAGCGCCTTCTTTCCTTGTGGGAGATCACACAAATCCCATGTGTGATTCTTCTTCAACGAGTTCATCTCGTCGTCCATCGCAAGCTCCCACTTGCTCTTGTAGGCATCTTTAACTGCCTCTTCATAGCAGTCGGGTTCCCCAGAATCAGATAAAAGTAGGTAATAAAGAGAAGGGGAGTACCTATCTGGGGCCCTTCTCATCCTCGGTTCTCGGCCCAGTGCCAGAGGCGTGCTGCTTTCAGCAATCGGTTCATCTGATTCTGGTTCTGCCTCTTCTTCTGTACGCTCGATCTCATCTATCTGAGCTCCCACTTAATCTGCTGGTCTCATAATTCCGGTATTTGAAATATCGAGACCAACATACTCCTGCATGGTCTTGTCATCGTCCAGGTATTCCTTCCGGTCCTTGTACATTATGCCTTCATTGAACACCACATTACGACTGCGAATAATTTTTCGATTTTGATCATCCCAAAATCTATACCCAAATTCGTCAGTCCCATATCCAATGAATGTACATTTGACGGACTTAGCGTCCAGCTTTGTCCGGTCGTCATTCAAAACGTAAGCCAAACAACCAAAGGTACGTAAGAAAGAGAGATCAACTTTCTTACCACTCCAGACATATTCTGGAATTTTGTTGTTCAGTGGGACAGAAGGCCCCCGGTTGATCAAGAAAGCGGCCGTGCTGACTGCTTCTGCCCAAAACATCTTGGGCAGTCCACTCTTCAATCGCATGCATCTCGCACGCTCATTCAGTGTTCTGTTCATCCTCTCCGCAATGCCATTTTGTTGAGGTGTCCCTGGGACCGTCTTCTGCATCCGGATCCCATGATCAGCGCAGTATTCTTTGATGGCTTCACTGTTGTACTCGCCACCGTTGTCGGATCTGAGACATTTCACTTCCAGACCTGTCTCTTTCTCCACGAGTGCTCTCCATCTCCTGAAAGTATCAAAGGCTTCGGATTTTCTTTTCAGAAAGTACACCCATACCTTTCTTGTGCAGTCATCGACGAACGTCATGTAGTACATCGATCCTCCAAGAGATGTCACCGGTGCTGGCCCCCATAAGTCAGTGTGCACGAGCTCCAGTTTTTCTGTCTTTGGAGCTTTCCCGGTGGTCGTGAAGCTCACTCGCTTCTGCTTCCCAAGCACGCATTGCTCGCAGAGACCCACGTCCACTGACTCAAACTCGGGCAAAAGTCCTCTGGATTTTAGTACCTTCATTCCTTTCTCGCTCATATGGCCCAAGCGATTGTGCCACAAGTGTGACTGTGAGACAGCTCCTGCCAGGAGAATGTTTGAGCTGGATCCACTAGCCGTGTAAAGCGTTCCTAACTTCAGCCCTCTTGCCAAAGTCATAGCTCCTCGGCTGACCTTCCACTTTCCGTCTCCAAACATTGTGTGGAAGCCGTCATTGTCCAGCTGTCCAACTGAGATGAGATTCCTCTTCAGTCCTGGAATGTGTCTCACATCACGTAGGGTCCAGCATGACCCATTTGCGGACTTGATCTGCACATCTCCCTTCCCTACAATTTTTAGGGATTTGTTGTCTGCAAGATATACCAAGCCAAAATCACCTGCGGTGTATGGCTCCATGATGTCTCTGCTACTGCATGAGTGAAATGAGGCCCCTGAGTCCACGATCCAGTCATCGAGCGAGCTTCTCACACTCAACAAGAGTGCATCCGCCGTGTCCTCCGTCGCGGCATTGGCTGTCCGGCCTTCTTTGTCTTTCCTTGGTGCCCGGCATTCGCTTTTCATATGCCCAGGCTTCTCGCAGTTCCAAGCACACCATCTCTTTCTTGCCTTTATTCCTTCCCCTGGATTTTGACCTCCCACGGATTTTCCCTCGTGTTTCGGGTCTCCCTCTGGACTCTGTATGTAGGGCTGAGCCAGAC